CACACTACAATAGGTATCCTGACACTCGGAGAGGAAGAAGACTATACTCAATCCTATCTCTTTAATTCAATACAAAGAGAACTTCATTCTCTTATTAAAAGTGTTTTTGGTTTTGAATGGTAAGTGCTTTGCGACAGAGAACCCTACGGTAAATGTTAGCACTCGGGATAGGAGAAGGCCTACGCCTAACCAGTCCACGACCATTCAAGTTTTGTTATGAAAATGATGTTCAAAAATGCATGCGGTACTAGACTGAGGTTTTAGGTGAGAAAGTTGCGGAGAGAAGTTGTAAAGAGAAAATATCTTTGTATTGAAAGACGAGTATCGAAACCACCCATACTACAGTGAGCATCTCGACACTCGGAGAGGAAAAAGTCTACACTTAATCCTCTCTCTTTAGTTTAATACAAAGAGAAATTGATTCTTTGATTAAAGAGATTTTTGAGAACCTGCCAAGGAGATGAAAAACAGAGACAAATATATACAAGATACATATAATAAACAGTCCACCAACTAGGATTTTAGGGTTTCGATATTTATTAAGTTTTTTTTAAAAGAATGTACAAATGAAAAGGGGGTTAGACGAAAATATGCACAATATGATAATATGAAGTATGAACAATGATAATAATATAAACAAGATAAAGTCAATAGAAATATAAACAGAAAAATATGTGCGGAAATATAAAACAATGAAATATTAACAGAATATTAAAGTCGGAAGTTAGTAATCGGTGAAATGGAGAAAGTCAAGAAAACTCAAACCTCGTCTTAATCGCAAACTTTAAGTTAATTTAATCGAAGAGAACCTCTCGCGATCCCAAAGTAAGGAAAATGACCCAAATGGTCATTCTCCTTAGATTTGAAATAACGAAGGTTTCAACATCCTCGATGATTAACATTTGACGAATCAGAGACTTCATCGGTTCGAAGTCAAAAATTGTAATAAAAGATACGAGTTGAAAAAAAGAAGTGGGTCTCAGATCGTTTCTCGTCAACCATTTGACGGACAAATGAAGGAAATCTCTTCATCGACTAAAACGAGGAGAGTGGGATAAAAAGTCCACTAACAAAAGAGAAATAGAACTCAACTTCTAAAATAGAAAATAAAAATAAAACTCTACATACATATAAAACTTCTAATAAAATTCTAAAAGAAAATTAAATATAACAATAGTATATATACACAAACTTTAAATAGAAATTCTAAAAGAAAATTAAATATATAAAAAAGCTTAGAATAAAAAATATATAATATATAAAAATCTAATAACTATTTAATAAATGTTAACAAACTAATTATAAAAATAATCTGTTAACTGTTTATAAAAAGTATTTACAAAATAATTAAACTAAAATATATTAACTAAATAATAATATTCCATATTTGAAAATTAACTTAAACACAAAATAGGGGGGTATAGGAAGTGAAAACGGAGGGGTGTGTAGTATCACAGTTCAGGTGGGCTTAGGCCCAAATCAAAATAAATAACTTAAAAAAATAAGTAGAAAAAACGATGAGACCCTCTTCTTCGTGTCTTGCTCTGTTTCATTTCATATTCTCCTCTCAAAACAACAAAAACCATGAAATCTTAAAAACTTGCCCATAGATAAGTTTTCATCATCGCGTCTCCAAAACAAAATGGAAAGAAAACGAAAACAGGATTCACATCCATCATTGTCATCGCGGATCAATCAATGGCGACGAACAGATCCGTATCAAAAAGAAAAAAAATGGTCTCGCTCCAACCTTGAATCGCTCTGTCTCTTCCTCGCTAGCCTCCACAGTTTTCTCGACGTTAACGAAGGCTTCACTTTTGGTTGAAGGGAGTTGGCTTTCGGTTTTCGTGATCTGGGTAGCTCACAGAAGAAGATGGAGAAGATGGTGTGCGAAAATGGTTTCAGAAATGGGTTGATGAAGTTTATTCCAACGGTGTTTGTTTTTGAGAAGAAGGTGATGAAACGGTGATGGTTTGAGAACGATGGTGGAAGGTGTAACTGGGTTCCAATGGAAGTTTTGGGGTTGATTTGCGGATTTAGGTTGCCTTTCTGGGTGATGGTTGGGTTTGATTTGGGAGAAGAAAATGATTTTTGGGTTGGATTTATGAAGATGGTGATGAAGGCAAGAAGGAGATGAGGGAGAGGGCAGCTAGGGTTCCTTTGATCTCTACCTCCCCCTTTTTATTATGAAGGCTGTCTTTGTTTTTCTAGAGAAGAGCTGAAAAGTGGTCTTCTTTTCTGGGTATGTTTTCTGGCCCCTTTCCAACAATCCTTTTTGGTCTGGCCCTTTTTGAATCAAATACAAGCTGTTTTGCAGGTCCTATAATACTGGTTTTATCGCATAGTACAATATGTTAGGCTGAAGGTCGTTGTGTTGTTTGTACTAGTATTGTTCTGCTCTTGTCTCATGTGGTAGCTCACTCATTAATTTTTTCATTTGAAATTTCCTTACAGCAGGCCTGTGGCTTTTTGGATTATGGCCAACATTTTTCTTGATGTGGTTGCAGGGTACATCAAAAAATGTTGTTATGGCTGCAAAAGGATGTGGGTTTGGTGTGGCCAAAGGATGGCGTATGGGTTCTGTTGCGATGGAGGTTATGATGCTGAGCGATTTGCTTTTCTGCTATTTTTGTGCAGGTTGCGTAACGGTTTGTCGTACGCGTGAGGGTGAGGTCTTTTGATGAGATAATAGTGAGCTGAATGAAGGGAAACAACTGCTGTGCTACCGCGTTTTTCCGCTTTTTATGATAATGTTATGGTTTGATAATCTGTGAGGATATTCTGATAACTCAGGTGATCAATCCGTTAAGAATTGATGGCGAAGTAACCAGTGAGAATTATGCAGCTTTTTTACATTTGTTCAATCTACTGTTATTCGCCTTTTATTTTCCTGTTGTTGCATAACAAATTGTGACGGTTGTAACTCTGTTTTGGTGCAGGTATTTCGCTTTCGTTTTGCGATGCGGTTTGCGAATCGTGGTTGCACCAAAAAGAAATGATGCTGTCCTTTCTGCAGATCGTGGCTGGTGTACGGAGAAGAAACCAAGACGGTTTTGTGGGGGACTGATTTGCATGCTGCCACGACTTGGAAAGCTTTCTTCATCATTTTTTTTTGTTGCAATTTTTGTACGATTCTGAGGTGAGCTAGTTCCTTGTGGGGTCTCTCTTTGTCTCCTTGTGCAGGTTGTACTATTGTTGTTGTTGGTTAGTGGTGTGATTTTGCTTTCAATTTCATGCCGGCTGGAGCGGTTTATGCAGGATGAATTGTGGTATTACGCATGCTGTGTTGTATTGTGTTTCGTACGAAGTTGTTTGCATTTTGAAATTCAGGACGTTGGTGTTTTGGCCAGCCACTGCGGTACGTACAGATACCTGTTGGAAAGTTGTGTGGTCCTCTGGAAATGGAACGGTATCCACGGTTTTGTCGTACACTCATCCCACTTGTTTTTAAAACAACATCTCTCTTCTTTATTTTGTATGGCTCATGTTTCTTTATTTTGTATGCAAGGTATAAAACTTGTGATGATGCTGCTTGTGTATTTACGTAGGTAACACGGTTTACAATGCGTTTCTACCTCACTTGGATCCAACCACTTGAGAGGATGGCGGTTGAAAAATAGCCAATTTGGAATAGTCACCAATATGGTGAGAATCACACCACCAACATATATGAGGATCATCGTCTGAAAAGAAACCGTAAGGTATCCCATTCCAAATGCAATCACAGCAAAAACAAGCAACATTATCTGCATTAGCTTCTCTGCTAGGTTTTGCCCTTGCCAATCCATCTTTGGAAGAGAGAAACGTGAAGTGGGATGGAGAAGGTGACTTGTAGAGACTTATTTTTTTAAATTTTCCTTGTTGTTCATTGTGTTAAATGACCTTGTAAAAATAAAGAAAATTGAAATGGGCTTGTGAACTCAATGATTTTTTCTATTACTTCATTGAACATTGTGTTTGGGCTAATCACTTTTGCAATTTCCTTAAACTATGGGCCTTGAGGAATTTTTATCATACCCCTTGAAACGGTTTGAGCAACACTTGAATTTATTTCTCTCTTTTACTCTTAAGCCAAGATGAATAATGACAAATGATGGATGTAGAATAACGCCTTCTGATCCTTCTTTCTCAGATCACAATGAGCATTTCACTATGCATCTGTTACATTTGCCGAAAGTACAACCAGAATGTAACTGTCGTTGATGAGATCAAGAACATCTTAAGCGTCAAACAACACACATCTGAATCATCAACCGATTACAGTTCTTGCAATTGAACACTGAAAACTTAGTACTCAAATTATTATTTCCGTTCATCTTCAACCTTGTGCAATTACTCAGGTCTCATCAAACTTTAGTTCCTAAAGTTAAAATTCACAAGAAACCTTTAATTTTTTTTTGCAAATTTTAACTTTAGAAACTAAAACCGAATAAAATTCAACATATAAGAATTTTATAAAAAAAAAAATATAGGACAAAAAAAAAATTATTCAAACCTATATAATATTACATCATGCGTTATGACATATAAGTAAAATTTGATTAAAATTCAAATGACAAATATCAGTATTATTAAATCGAATATTATGCTCTGGATTTAAACCCAATACCATTTCGTATACACATAAAAAGATCGGATTAAAATTTGACTAGGACCAAAAACGTACCTTTAGTAAATTGGAGGGGTTAAAATCAAACAAAATAAAATTATTGGTCAAAATCAGAAATTTAAAAAATTGAGATGCCAAAAATAGATTCATGTTTAATCCCTAGGTAAAATCCACTTGTAAAGCAACGATTGGTGCAAACTACGTGTGATGACATGTTAACGTGGAAAGCTACAAGGCTTCGTTTATTCGTTTCAAATCTTTCAATTCTCAGTTTCATTTATAAAAGAAAAAATCATCAAATATTCTAAGAAAAATATACAGTACCTTCTTCTTCATCTTCAAATGCGTTAACACCAAAACATTAGTTTCGAAATCATTGAAGAAGATCTCAATGCTTAATTTTATGGGTTTCTCGTTGTTGATTACGAATTCGGTTTCTTACAAGGGATTGTTCCACACATTTTTAGTGCTCGATTTTGTTTTTGTTTGCCAACTCATCATTCTTCAACCCTTTGTTTCTGCTTCAGGTATACCTTGATTTGTTTCAAATTATTTGATTTTTTTTTTGTAGTTTCTCTGCAATCCATTGTAATTCAATGTTCCGTTTCACTTTCCCCTCATTCAATTTCGTAACTTGAATGCTTTGATCGAAGTTTGTTTTGTGGATCGTATTGCTATTGGATATTTGACTGTGGCGTAAATTTCTGTGTTTGGTTATTGCATTTTATTTTAGTGTTTATTGAGATTTTAAAGGAAGTGAGTTCATTTGATATAGTATGCAGTTATTTAGGAACCTGAAAACAGAATATGAGATTTGAGAGAAACTGAAAGATTGCTGCTTTATGCCATGCTGGCCGCTTTGGGGTGCTGTTATAGCAGATCATGGCAGAAAAATCTGCATATCGGCCGCCATGAATATCCTCCATAGCGGCCATGGTGCGGCTATTTGACGCCGTTTAGTGGGATAATGCTTGTTGTTGTTGCTGTTGGACACAATCCCACTTAAAAATGTTACACCCCCTAAGCTATTACTCCTCTAGAATCCCACTGGAAAATGTTACTCCTAACTTTGTTACTCCTTTAGAAGTTCGGTAATGGTTCAGTGTTCAAGTGAAATAACAGTCTTTGCTTTGTTTTTTGATGTGATCCTGTGGCAAACCAGGAAATGCTGCTGAGTTGTTTGAGAAAGCATCTCAAAGTATAAAAGAGAGACATTTTACTGAGGCACTCAATGATTTAAATTCTGCAATTGAAGCAGATCCAAACCATTCAGAAGCATACCTTTCCCGTGCTTCAGTTCTTCGCCAGTTATGCAGGTGCGACTTATTTACAAATATTACCCCACCCGCTTTCTTTTTAAACTTAAAAGAATATTCATTGCCAAATGATGGTTTAGCTTTTGGAAGTTTGATTAATGATATAAAAATCACATATTAATTTGGTTTCCATATTTTGTTTCATAAGGATAGGAGATACTGTTAAATATAGTATAAGATGTGAAAACAAAAGCACCATTTTCCCCTCAATCATTCCTGAAGTTTGCAAATAATGTAAACCCTAAACTTTAAGATACTAGTTTCAGAAAATGACCATTGTGTCACTCATCACCCTCCACCACTCCTATCTATCGTCTCCTCCCCCATCATCCCAAGTCACTCAAACTCCTGATTGGATAGTTATATCATTCAGGTGCTTTTTGGCTAATGTAGATATGAGCAATCTGAAAGGAGCTACAAAAAGTTTCTGGAGTTAAAACCCGGGCATTCAGTTGCAGAAAAGGAGCTCTCTCAGCTATTGCAGGCTCAAAGTGCGCTAGAAACCGCTCAGTCCCTCTATGAGTCAGGCAACTACACAAAGTCTTTGGAATACATTGAGAAAGTTGTTCTTGTTTTCTCTCCAGCATGCACTAAGGTAACAGTTTTATGCTCTTCCAGCTCCATAAATTTCTTTTCTATTTCTGTCTCAGTAGTTACGCTAGCATGAAAGTGAATACGCCAGTTTTGGATTTGGACTGTGAAGTCATCTGTGCAACCAGAATGAAAACTAACTTTATATGCATTATTTTTTTCAGGCTAAGCTTCTTAAGGTGAGGTTGTTGATAGCTGATAAAGAGTATGAAGGTGCCATTGCCGAGTCTGGTATTCTTCTCAAGGAAGATGAAAACAATTTAGAGGCATTGTTGTTACGTGGTCGTGGATATTACTATTTAGCTGATCATGATGTTGCCACAAGGTTTGTCTGGTGGAAATGATGTTGAATTCTAGTAGCATTCTTACAATACTTTTTATAAATATTATCTGGCTCATATGTTGGTATATATCCAGGCATTACCAGAAAGGTCTTCGCCTAGATCCTGAGCACAGCAAACTGAAAAAAGCATACTTTGGGTTGAAAAATCTACTCAAAAAGAGTAAAAGCGTAAGCCCTGATATATTTTTGAAATTTCTTTTTGCATTCCATTTCTCAAGTTTTTCATCCTTCTTTATTTTGGGTGTTGATGAATAATTTTTTCTACTTCCTCATAAAGGCTGAAGATAATGCGAGTAAGGGCAAGCTACGGGTGGCAGTAGAGGAATTCAAGAATGCACTTGCCATTGATCCTGACCATCGTGCACATAATGTAAATCTTCACCTTGGCTTATGTAAAGTGCTAGTCAGGCTTGGCAGAGGAAAAGACGCATTGAACAGTTGTAGTGAAGCTCTTAATATCGATGAGGAGCTTATTGACGCTCTTGTTCAGGTACATTGTAATTTTAAACACCCTCGTGTTTGTTGTCTTTAACAAGTATTTTTTGGGCCATGGTCTCCTAGAAAATTTTATCTTCATTTATCGAAGTCTTGTTTGCGTAAGATGGATGACACAAAATTACTTATCTTGATGTTTTTTTGTCAGAGGGGGGAAGCTAAACTCTTAACGGAGGATTGGGAGGGAGCTGTGGAAGATCTGAAAGCAGCTGCTCAAAAATCTCCTCAGGTAAATATATTTGAACATGTTTCGTATCTCAGATTAAATTATCATATTGAAAGAGTTTTTGGAGGAACAAATATTCCATGTTCCATGTTGAGTTCTTCCTTAAAATCAGAAGACTTTGAAAATGAGAGAAAATTTTGAAAAAAGAGAAGACTTGAGTTGTGGAGTTACACTAATTGAGAATAAGAAAGTCTTGAAAAAGATACAGGAAAAGACACGAAGGCTCTGTATGGTAAAAATAGCGGTTAATTGATAAGTTAGCTGATAGCTTATAGCTTATAGCTTATGACCAAAAACTTATAGCTGATGGCTGATGTCTTAAAACTGATAACCTAATTGAAGTGTTAGGTAAAATTAGCGGTTCAATTAGTTGATAAATTAAAATGACATAAAAGATATTATGTATATATTTGTTTTATTTAAATTAAAATAAATTATAAAGGGTAATAGTGGATTTTAGTTAAAATAATAAGGACAGAAGTGGAAGAAAAAATGATAAGCTATAAACTATAAGTTAAAACACTATTTATAATAACATCTGAAAAATAAGCTATAAGCTAGTAAAATAAGCTATAAGCTCGTGATGAAAAGACTCTTATGCTCAAAAAAATGTCTTGCCAAACATAGTCTAATAAGAGCCGCAAAAATAAGAGGGCTCAGAATAGAAAAATAGATTAACTTATGTCAAACTCACCATTTTCTATTCATGTTTATAAAAGAACTTAAATTGATATATATTTTGCTTCCTACTTTCCTCAACAGTACTTTAAAAACACTAACAAGATCAACAAAAATAAGAGGGATCAAAATAGAAAAATAGTTTAACCTTAGCTCATCATTATCTATTCATATATCTAAAAGAAGAACTTATACTATATAATATACACACACATAAGTTTAACCTTAGCACATCATTATCTATTCATATATCTAAAAGAAGAACTTATACTACAAATATACACACATATTGCTCCCTACTTTCCTCAGCAGTACTGTACTGATATCTGTTTTTAGTGATATCTTAGTTATGAATTGGTTGTTAGTTTGTTACAAATGAAGCCCCTTAGCGTCTTAATTGATTGATTAATATAATGCATTAATTTAACTTTTTAAGTGCGATGTTTGTGCTCTAGATTCAAACCCTGTTACTTATTTCTCGTGTATCTGTTTTTGGTGATATCTTAGTTATGAATTGGTTGTTAGTTTGTTACAAATGAAGCCCCTTAGCGTCTTCATTGATTGATTAATATAATGCATTAATTTAACTTTTTAAGTGCGATGTTTGTGCTCTAGATTCAAACCCTGTTACTTATTTCTCATGTATGCTTGTGAGAGGTTTAGAGAATTTAGAATTGATTGTAGTTGAATTAATTTGAAGAATTGAAAAATACCTTTGCCCTTTAGAGCTTTTGGACTTATAATTTTCTGTGTTTCACGTAACTAGGAAAGTTTTTGGCTTGCAATATAAGATTTTAACAGTTTTTGAACACATATCATATGATTCACTAACATTATAACCTTAATCATTTTGTTGTGTTTGGTTAGTAGTAGTTGTGTTAATTAGTATTTGTCTCTTAACTGCAGGATATGAATATCCGTGAAGTATTAATGAGGGCTGAAAAAGCTTTAAAAATAAGCAAACGCAAAGATTACTACAAAATTTTGGGAATTTCAAAACACGCTTCTGCTGCTGATATAAAACGCGCATACAAGAAACTTGCCTTACAATGGCACCCAGATAAGAATGTCGACAATAGAGAAGAAGCAGAGGCAAAATTCCGAGAGATCGCCGCTGCATACGAGGTCTTAGTCACAAACAAAATACCTATTTGCTTTTTCATCTTCAGTCTTTAATCAAGGGACATGCTTGTGTTGAATAACTGATTGTTGATTTGTCTTTTAGGTTCTAAGTGATGAAGACAAGCGCACGAGATACGATAGAGGGGAGGACCTTGAAGAATCAGGAATGGGAGGCGGTGGCGGTGGCGGTTTCAATCCCTTCGGTGGTGGTGGACAGCAATTTCACTTTACTTTTGATGGCGGCTTCCCTGGTGGAGGATTTCCCGGCGGCGGTGGCGGCTATGAGTTTCATTTTTGATTCAAAAAAAGTCTCAATCCTTAAATTTTTCTTAGGGAAAGCTATAGTCTTGATTTCCTCAAAGGACCACAGCTATAATGTTGACTAATCACTTGCTAACGGTTGTTGAGGTAAATACATAGGCCATCCCCAAGTTGCTTGCAAAACAAGACTTTGTTGTACTTTACAGAAATTTTTGCTTTGTGTAAAAGTGATGGGGATAGGCGTTAGTTAAAGAGGCACATTTTGATGTAGAACCATTTAGTTTTATGTGGTGGGTGTTACTATGTAAGGATGACTTTAAATTCCAGCCAACCATTACACTATTTGTTTACATATTTACAAGTCAATTGAATTGCTTCACAGTTAATTAAATAGCATGAAAAATTGAGTTACTCATTAATTTATGTGCAACCGTCCGCCAGCCCACTGATGGGCAGGGATGGGAGTTTCAACCCGATCTCTCAATTGGTCTGACCCGACTTTAAACAAGTTTAAAGAAAAAGAGACCTTCTTGATCTGCGTTAGAATTCCACTTCCACTTGAACTAAATGTTAGGATACAATAGACCTACATGATCCACTCTTGAACTAAATGTTAGGATACAATAGACCTTCATGATCCACGATAGGATTCCACTCCCGCTACCTCACTCAGCTAAACCTATTCTCTGATACTACTTGGAGAGTTTATAGAGAGTTTATGGTAATAACCTATTCCCTGATACTGCTTGGGAGTTTATAGAGAGTTTATGGATTATCAGAAGAATTAATGAATACAATAAACAGAGTTTATGGATTACCAGAAGAATTAATGAATACAATAAACATTTAAGATCTAAAAGACGTTTTAAAATTATATATATCCATCTAAAATCTTAAAGCAATGGAGTATAGAGCTAAACCTATTCCCTGCTACTACTTGGAGAGTTTATAGAGAGTTTATGGTAATAACCAATTCCCTGATACTATTTGAGCGTTTATTTGAGAGTTTAGAGACTTTATGGATTATCAGGAGAATTAATTAATGAATACAATAAACATTTTAGATCTAAAAAGACCTTTTAACATTATGTATATCAATCTAAAATCTTAAAGCAATGGGGTATAGGTCACCATATATATATATATATATATATATATATATATATAGCATATCAAATGAAAGTGATTTTAAATGAGAGATAAGAGTAACAAACAACAACCATTAGATCAAATTAATAAGAGAGACAAATTAATAGTCACATTAATAAATAAGTTTAATTATGATCTAATGGTTATTGTTTGTTCCTCTCATCTCTCGTTTTAAAATCCCTCTCACTTGATATGCTCCATATATATATATATATATATATATATATATATATATATATATATATATATATATATATATATATATATATATATATATATATATATATATATATATATATATATATATATATATAATATTTCTTTTATTTTAATCTACTTTAATCACTCATACTTGAATCTGTACTTGATGATATTTGTTTCCCCATCTAAAATGTATTTGTTAATTTCTAAAGCTATGTTCATACGTTTTATGACTTATTTATAGATTTGAACATGTTGTGTCCTTGATGTTTTTTTATTGATTCAAATTTCAATAGGATGATCAAAACATAAAATTGACTAAATTATACTTATATGAAAAACAATAAACAAATGACTTCACTTCTAAATTATACTTATATGAAAAACAATAAACAAATGACTTCACTTCTAAATTACACATTTCAAATATATATAAAAAAATCATTTATATTACACTCAAAATTTTCTTCACATTGTAACAACAAAAGTACAAGAGATCTTCATCATCAATAAACTCAAACTCACCTCAAAGAAAGAAAATAAAATAGAAAATAACATAAAAATTCACCATCCCAATACTTACATCCACAAATAAGAAACAACAGCATTTGCAAAAACAGCAGCAAACAATGTAACACCTGGATATCCCTTCAAACCAACAGCACTAGAATCATCAGCCGGACTATCCGACGACCCTTTCGGAGCATCAGAAGCCCGAACACTTTTCTCCGGCTTAGTTGGTGCAGGCGCCTCAGCCGGAGCAGCCGTCGGACCTTGTCCAAAAAGTGCCATAGGAAGAAGCACTTGATCAACCTGATAAACTGCAAGCTGGTTATCACTATAAATAGTATTAGAAACAGTTGTATCAATCACACCAGTAGTCACATTAACTTGATTTCCAGAAGTAGTAACATTAAGAGGATACTCTCCATCGTCGCTGTTTCCGGCTTGCGTGTGTAAGGGGTTACTAGCAGTTTGAAACTGCGAGATTGTGTAAAGTGTTGGTAGGATATGAAACTGCAAAAGTTGAAGCTGGTTTTGTGTGCTTATTGAGTTTAATGTTCCGGATTTTAGGCTCGAGAATGCGTTATCTGTTGGTGCAAAGATTGTTAAGCCTTGGTTTGAATTGTTGAGCTGCGAATTGATTCGATCGGATACTTGTGTTGCTTTAAGTAGCTTGATGAATGTTGTGAATTGTCCTGCTTTTTCTAGGACTTTTGTTATGTTTGTTGGTCCTGATGGGGCTGGAGATATAGCAGTTTGAGCTGAAACTGTTTGAAAGAATGTCACAATGAAGAATAGGTTGAGACAGAAAAGAGGAAGGAAATGGAAAAGCTTTGCCATTGGTATGAAAGTTGAAAAACTAAGAAGAAAATAATGTATTTAGTTAGAAGTGGAATGAAGGGTTATGTGGTCACACATATGTTATATAGAATCTTGTTATGAGAAAATTTGATTGATAATTAAATGTTTGGTGAAATGTTGTGATTAGTATAAGGTGGAAAGAGGCTTTCAAATAATTGATTTTTTCTTTCTAAAGGCAAGATATTAGAGGGTGGAAGATAGACTTTGTTTGAAATTCATTTTCTTAGTGAAAGGTAGACTTTGTGTGGTTTCTTGTAGGGACCATGGTAATAATTTTGACTTGATATTTGCCAAAGATTGTTCAGGTAAGGTATCTTGATCATATGCTTGTAATGTAAGAAACGTGCTTTACAGAATTTTTTGCTTTGGGTGGAAGTGATTGGTGGGTGTTAGTTAAGGAGAAGCTTGTTTTGATGTAACTAGGCCATATTTTTGTATGCTAAGGGTCCTCTAGCCCATAATTTTATAAGCCACTTGTAATTTTTTTTTATAAGTGCAATATTTACAAACAAACACTAATTCTATTAGACAAAATTCAACTTTGTTTTGTCAATTACATATTTGTGATTTTCCCGCTAGCGATATATTATTACGAAGATTTTAAGTCTCACATTAAAATGATATAAAGCTTAAAAAAAGTTTATATAGAGTGTGAAAATTAAACTAAAACACCATTAAACTATATTAAGCAATTAATTTTGCATTGATAGAGAAGAGAATTATACAAATCTACCAAATGATGTTAAATTATCAACTACTTATATGAGTTGTAATCCGTTAGATCAAATAACTAACTTATAACAACTTTTTAACTATCTAAAAAAATCAGTTAGATTAGTTACAACATAGCTCTCCTTGATAGTTTTATCCATAGTTAAGTTGAATTATCGAGCAAGTAACTTCACTAATCTCTACTATCTTCATATGTTAAATATCTCCCCTCAAGTTAGAATATATATCAATCATTCCTAACTTGTTTTGAAGATTATTGAAGGGTCATACATGCAAAGACTTGGTCATTATGTCTGCAACTTGTTCCTTCGATGCAACTAGAAGCAAGTGAATTGTTCATGTCTGCACCTTGTCTCTAACTACATGGCAGTCAATCTCTATATGTTTAGTTCTCTCATGGAAAACATGATTTGCAACTATGTGGAGTGCTGATTTGTTATCACATTACATCACAATCAGAGAGATGTGTTCTTGTAGAAGCATATTTCAATCTCAAGGTTTTGATGATGTCAACAAGACTTAAGCTCATTTCATGTTTGCAAAAAGTCAAGCTTTCAAAATTGATCAAGATCAAGACTATGGAATGTTGTCATGCAAATCAAGCTTCATGTGCAAATGATCATACATCTTTCAAGATTTGGAATCAAGGCTTTGGTATATCAATATTCACTCCTTTAATTGATATACAAGTGTTCAAATAATTCATCATATCAACATATTGCATTTGCATATTTTAAAATCATTTGGAACTGGTATAACACTTTAAACTTAAGTATTTTTCTGAGTTTTAACAGTGTTAACCGATTAACCATATGGGTTAATCGGTTAACGGCCTCAAATTTTAAATTCTCAGGACTAACGTTCAAGTGTTAACCGATTAACCTATATGGTTAACCAATTAACACTGAACGAATTTTGAAAAATTGTTTCTTTTAAAATTCAAATCTTGTTTGATTGTTATAACTTTTCATTATTTGATTCATACTCATTTGTACCTTTTTGAAATGGTGTTTTGACTCATATAAATTCTGGAAATTTCAAATTGAAAAACACCTCCAATAATTTTCAAAATAATCATTCAATCAAATTCACTATTTTTCAAATATTTCAAAAAGTGTTCATACTGCTCATACCATTTCATATCCAGAATTTTTGAACACTTGTATTGATATTGAAAAGTGAATTTTGATCAAAAGGAGAAGATCAATCATTGTATTGATATTATTACATCACTCTCAAATCAAAGAATTACAGAATTATTTCTATTGCGACTTGTGATTCAGGATTGTTGGACACAAGGTTTAGTGCTTGCAAGAGGATTGTTCTTGCACACTAATTGTTGAATAGTTGTTAGATCGTAGGCCTCACCGGTTGATGGTGTGATAGGTTGTACATTCTAAAACTATAGTGAAAAATCTCTTTCATGTGGAAAAGGGAGTGGAGTACCTTCAGATTGTGAAGGGAACGACTATAAATCTTTGTGTCCATTTTCATTCTGCTTTTTACTGCTTTCATCATCAAGAACATAACCAAGTAAAATTCAAGAATCTCGAAAAACCGGAAAAAGTTTCTAAAGCCTAATTCACCCCC